ACACCGTCTCCGGTATTCCCTTCACACCAATAAGCGGGGCTGTATGTTATGTGTGCACCTTTAATGTGAGTTAAAAGTGTGCAGGTCCCTCGCTGTGCATTGGATGCCTGCCTGCCCTTCGATGAAACAAAAATAAGAGGAACAGACAGACCGAATATCTGGTTCACCGACTGAGTAGAAACAGAGACTTGTTTTTGCCTTCTGTCTGACAAATACAAGTCAGATGATCAAATGTAAAGGGGAACAGAATCAGAAACTCTAAACGCCTGTGATAACGTCCTGCAGCCAAGTGAGGGAAGGGAAAGGAAAAAAAAAAAAACACTGTACATGAAACTATTTGATTACAGACTTTGGATGACTTTCAAACCCAGCGTGTGTGATGAAATACCTTCAGTTTTTCCTGCAACAGCCCGAGCAAGGTGAACGCTGTGAAGCTTTTTTTTGTTTCGTCGTAAATAACGCTCGGCCGAGGTCACTCCCTCCCTCGTTTCAATACGGGCGAGATGAATACCTAAGCATTTCATTTATGCTCAGTGTTTGCTCTGAAGATTACATTATTAATCCACGGAGACGGAGGATTACGGTTTGTGGTCCGACTGATTCCGAAGGCACAGCTGGAACAAACTAAATTGAGGTCATATTCTTATAGGCCGGGGTTCCGTGTCCGTTTGATGCAATATCCAGATTCATAATGGCATCAGTGGCTTACCGTAGCTGCAATTGGATGACTGGACATGTATCCAACCGGGGATGAACCATGTGTTTGATGCATTTTTTGTTTTTTTTCTCCTACTAAAATATTAAAGGATACATTAGAAGGAATGCACGATCCGTAGACGTCTCATTTTCACACATTTCTTTCTGTTTCTTTTCTTGCATCCTAAAGCGTACACACCCAGTAGCTCGCCCCCACAGGTATTTAGTCTGCTGATTTGACATCTTCTCCTGGCTTGTGTGGGTGTAGACAGGCTTTGCATGACTGACATCTCCCTAAATCCTTTTTTTTTTTTTTTGAAGACACCTGTCAGAGCAGGATCATTTATACCTTTAATATCCTCCGTGTCCCAGTGCTATATGTTAGCTCTATACAGTCGCCTCTATACTAGTCATTGTGCTTTTTTTCAGTAAGACAACATATTTAAACATTTTGCAGGTTGACTCACCGGATGTGCAGGCATAAGGCTGTCATTGGTTTCACATTTCACATGGATTTCCGTTACCATTCTCCCCTTCACTGTGGGAACAAACAACCACATTAGGCCCAGCAACCTACCACACTGAACGCTGCTAGGGATTTAAATCAAGCACTTCAGCAGCCTTGCTCAGGTTGTTTGCTCCCTTTGTGCAAAATGTTAAACTAAAGCATTGGCTATTTTGAGGGGACACCATTGCTGCATCCTGGGCTTTGCGCTGCACAGTATGATGGTGATGATTTAAAGAAATAAAAATGAGCCAGACTAATGTTGTGTTTTTATCCGAATAGCAGAATGATGATGAGGTGCAGCCAGACTGTGTGAGACCATTTTGTGCCCCTATCCCGTACAGGCTTGCAGGCTGCTGGAGCATCTGACATCGTGAGAGAGGCTCGTCTACCTTGGACAGGTCGACAGGTCATTGCAGGACTAACACAAAGAGACAGACAGACATGCTCAGGTGCACTGAACACTCACTTCCACGACTAATTTAGAATTATTAATTAACCCACCATGCATGACTGAGGGATTGAAAGCGACACATCCACAGAGAAAACATGCCAACTCCACACAGAAAGGCCCCAGCTGAGTTTGAACCCAGAACCTTCTAGCTCAGTGCTAATTGTGTCACTTCAGAATATTAAATAAACCTTTCATCACCTCAATCTGGGGCTGCAAGGTGGAGCAGGTGGTTAGCACTGTTGCCTCGCAGCAAGAAGGTCGCCGGTTTGCGTCCCGGTGAGGACACCCGGGATCTTTCTGCGTGGAGTCTCCATGTTCTCCCTGTGCAGAGTGGGTTCTCTCCGGGTTCTCCGGCTTCCTCCCACAAGGTCCAAAAACACGTTGAGGTTAATTGGTGATTGTAAATTGTCCGTAGGTGTGAATGTGAGTGTGCTTGGTTGTCTGTCTCTAAGTGTAGCCCTGTGATAGACTGGTTACCTGTCCAGGTGAACCTGCCTTCACCCTGAGTCGGCTGGGATAGACTCCAGCCCCCCATGACCCTAGTGACGATTAAGTGGTGTATAGATAATGGATGAATGGATCACCTCAGTCCAGCAAACAGGCCCGGCCCAAACCTCAGGCGAACAGCGCAAGACTCCGGTTTGCTCTCCAAGCTTTCATGCCAGCTCCTCTCCGACCTTTTGCTCAAGCCCAGCTGACTCCCCCAGAACCCTGCCTGTTTTCTAATAAAACGGTCAGTTAACCGGTTCCCCTGCCTCCTGCCTCAGCGTCTGCGCTCGGATCCACCGGCCCTGCCGTGACAAATAGCTGGCATTTTTTTTTCCCCCTGCTGTGAGAAGATCTGTCATTTTCTTTTATGCATTACATTGTGGGCGAATATCATCACCATGCTCAAGAAAAGTCAAGGCTGCGTTCGTATGCATATTTCCTGCCTTGAATAGGCATATTTAAAAAGGAAAAGTGAAGCTCGTGTACACGATATACTCAAAACCTACTTGGATTTACTTTGCATTATGAATTTGTTGCACAACTCTTCCTGTGAGTGTGTTGTATCGGATGACATCATACATTTCTGTGGTTCGATGATATTGAAGAAGCAGAACAGACAGAATAATGCCTGTTTAGAGCCTATAATAAGTCTAATAATAAAATATAAGCTGTAAATAAAGGCATTTTTGTAGCAGACACTGGGACGGTGACGAAACAACAAATCTTTTGAGGCAATCTACAAATCTGTGCACTCTGGAAAAATATCTCCAGAGTTTGTGGATGGTGAGGTGAGATGGGATATAATCACATATAAACCTCACTATTTATCTGCAGGTGCTATAAGATTTCGACATAAACAGCCTTGCTTAAGCAGTGAAGTTAGTAAAGCCTGTGTATATGTAGAAATTGTTCTTTTATCTTTGACCAGAGGGAGGCAGCCAAGTGCGTAAAGTGAGCGTCAGCACAGTGAGCAGGGCAGGGCTGCAGTGTCTCCTACCTAAATCATTTCTAACATAATGTGTGGACAAGTTAGTTCAATTAATACATGATTGCACATTCTGTTGAAATATTAGACTTTCCCCCCAAAAAAACTATTATTTGCACTGACTCACGCTAATTAATTTAGTTTGAAAAATGACTGGCAGCATTCTGTTTTATTTTTCTTCCATTTGAATTTGTCAAACAATAAATGATCAAACGGCCCAGACCATGCGCTAATTTCACAGAGGATGTGCACTCCTTCTGAGGAATTCAAATGTTTGATGTTTGGCAATCCTCAGACGAATTCATTTTTAAAATATTGAGAAATGAACGCTTTTGGAGAGACTAAAATTACACTAAAAGATGATTTCTGTTTCAATTAATAACCTATGGGCTATTTCAGTGGCCATCATTTCTGTGCGTAATTCCTCCATTAACCTGCAAAACGACTAATCATCGCTCAGCTAATTAACATTAAGGGGGGGGCTTGGATCCGAGGTGAAAATGGTAGCCTGGAGTGGGAAGAAAGCTGCACAAGTTTCCAGGCTGTGCGTACAAGCTATTGGACGCTGGAGCAGAGCAGCGGGCTACCGAGCCACGGTGAGGGCAAACGCGCTCGTCCCGCCTCCCGTGACCCCTCCGCGGTGCTGCGATTGGACGCCGCAGCCCGTCACTCCTCGGTGCGCGCAGGTTCGGTTGCTCTGCACCGTTAAGATGCTCAATTGATGGGCGTACTGAGCTGTGCATTGAAAGGAGAGAGACGCTTACGTGTTTCATTGTAGCAAAACAAAAACCATGTTCTCTCCCGGTTATATCACAGCTTGTTGCTGGTTTCTCCGCGACAGCCAGCCCGGAGCGCGGCTGCTGCTTTTTTCCTCCCCGCGCTCGCTGACAAGCGGGTTTTGACGATGCTATTGCGGCGTTTTAACGGAGAGAGAGAGGGAAAAAAAGCTCATGACAGAATAACAACACTCGGCTGGCTGCTGGCGACACGCATCAGTGTTGATTAGTTTGGATCCGGATGTTTTGCAGGTGATCTCTCTCTCGCACGCGTGGTGGACGCCTCGGACGGTGCAGCTACTTTGGGAGATTTGGGGTGAAAAAATGCACCTGCCGTAAAGAGCGACGGAGCAGCCGGAGCACATGGACATCTGTTTCCCACCCCCTCTTTATGGAGCTCACATCGGACCTGGTTTCGCCGCCATGGAGCAGTTTCTAATCCACGCCGTTTAATATTTACTCGTCGCGGGGCTTCAAACCCTCCCGAGGACCAGGATGACAGCTGATCGCCCCTCCTCTCCCGGCACTTAAATAAAAACGCGCTCCATCTGAATCCGCTGACCTCGATTGGACGCCAGAGTCTCCGTTTCAGCTGTTTAACAATAGATGGAGCGCACAGGGCTGTGACATTTGGCTGATTGCCGCCCTGAAAGCCCCTCTCCTGGTCAGGTTACCACCACGGTCCTGTCAAAAGCTTCCACCGGCATCAGCCCACGTCTCACTGGCGGCCCTTTAAATTTCCTTTCTGCTCATTTTGTTGGAATTTAAATCATCCATGTGGAGAAGTCCGAAGCAGCCTTCTCCGCATGGAAACTACGTTTCTCTTCTCGCTCTTTTGATGCCGACTTTGCGTAAAACCCCGTGGCCGGGGATGATCCTTGAGTAGCCGATAAAATAATCAGCGTCGCGGTGTCAGCAAGGGTTTGAGCTTCAGGGGATTTGTGTAGATTATCGCCGGACTGCTATTTTGTTCCCTCGGTCACACTCTTAACTGAACTTAGCGGCTTTTGATCTGCAGCCCTTTTCCCTGCTTTCCTCAGCCGCCTCTGCTAAAGGAGGAGGGGGGGAAGCCTGTTTACAAGCCTCGCTATTCACGGGGAAACGAGGGGTGGGTTGCATTCATAAGCGATGACTGCCACAGAGGTGTTTGGACCCAGATCTGAGGATACGACGAGTCTGGCGCTGCTGCCGCCGCCGCTGCTGCTGCTGTCACCCCGTGGATGTGGGGGAATGAGACGCGCTTCGGTTCTGTAGTTGACGCTCGCTGTTTACGCACAAAGGCTGCCCGGGATGCCTGTGACTGTCCGTCAGTAGATCCGCAGAAACGCGACACAAGAAGAAGAAGAAGAAAAAAAAAAACGAAGCCCCCTCTCTCCGGACTCCGTTTCGACAATCTACCGGGCGGCTACCGGAGGATGTTTCAGCAAGGATGCTGCGCTTCCCCGTGAAGAAGATCAGGAAGCAGTTCAAGCTCCTGCTGCTGCTGGTGCTGCTCACCTCCGCAGTGTGGTTCACCTACCTGCACATCAACCAGGGCAAGACCATCAAACTGCACTTCAACTACGGAAAAGGTACAGAAAGCTTCAAAGTTGTGTCTTCTCCTCCTCCCTGCTGGATAACATCCCCTTAAAACCCATTTAAATGCCTTTTATGAGCACTGTGGTGGCACCTCTGGAGATTAAACTAAGGTAACATTACTATAAAGTCACAGAGGGGGGACATTATAGGAATACTGAAGTGAAATCACTGGGGTTCGTGCTGCCATAAAGAATGATGAAGCCGCCGTAAAGTTGCCAGAGTCAGCATCATCGCAGATATAAGGAATAAAATCAGCTTTAACGTTACAGATGCATAAAGTCTTGCAGAAATTGTCAGTGGCACAGATCTGAGGTGCATGTTTCCCTGCCCTCGCACATTCTCCTCGCCTCGCTGTTGTGATGGACAAGGAGCTGCTACACCACAAGAAGCAGCAACACACAGAGAGGGAGCATGTCTCATAAATTAACTATAGTGTCTTCCTCCAGGCTGAGTAAAGAGTGTCTCAGGCCGGGTCGAAAGCCAGACCGTCGCCTTCAACATTAATAATCAAAGGGCTGCTCATGAAGGCGGCTTCAGAGGTCACAGGCGTGACAGTCAGCCTTGGAAAACTATTAATGGGGGAGTGTGGGGTGGAGGGGATGAGGCAGATTTCCACCTGCTGCTGCTTCTGCTGCTGCTGTTGTTGTGCTTCTTATTACTAAGGCTTGATTGCGTTCCTCCACTGTGCACAGCGGCTGGTGGCTGGTGGTCGGATGATGCTGATGCATTACAGGAGCAGTGATTTGTAAAAGAGAAAACACTGATCCGAAGTGTTGGATCTAACACGCCACATGACAGATTTAACACTGGCTGATGGTGTAGCTGCTCCCCCAGCTGTCTGTGTAAGGTGATACCCGGCGATTATGATGTCCTTGAAGGGTGTACACTGCGCCCACACACACACACACACACTCACGCAGTGGACGGACACACAGGGATCATTTCATTGTCTCTGATCTCAGCCGGGGTGTTTTTTTTTTATTTCCCAGCAACAGACTGGATCTAGTTTTCTGATAATGAGAATCCTGAATCGTGTAGACTGGGTTAGAGGATGCCACTCTGGTTTGTTTGGTTTGCAGCTAAGTGAGTTGTGAGGTTTTATGAGTATCTCTGCAGTGAATTTCCCATTTTCTGAAGTGAATAGTATTCTGATCTCGCCAAAGTAAAGTAAGAAAAAAATACCCAGCACATTATAAGCTTCACATAGACAGACTTTATTGCAGGGATATTGTATTGCATTGGGCACAGGTGCTCTTGATATTGTACCCACAGCTTGTACTCACATATATATATCTATATATGCACTGAAGTTGACGTAACCAAGGGTCACTTTCAGGCCTCCTGTACTTGTGCATTCTGGGGCTGCACCATGTGGGACTGTAATATATATTGTGACGTGCAAAAATTCTGCTGAAGTCTTTGTTTGACCACAAAGAAACGTCATGCTTTGTCATACTTGGTGGCAGGGTATTTCAAAACTTAATATATCAGAAAGCAGCCATACCTGTGTCCTTGTGGAACACTGGGAACATCCTATTAAACAGGTGCTTGAAGAGAGTGTTGTGGGTGGATCATAAAA